CATGAGTTCACCTGATGAAGGGATCTGGAATGGTCCCGAAACGTTGTGAGGCTAATAAAAAAGAAGGTTATTTCCATAAGACTATCTTGGACCTGGGTTCTAGTTCTCAAATTAGTTCCACATGAGAACAAAGTCTGTCCTCTATGTCTCTGTCATCATATTGCTGTAACATTGCTAAAAGTGGCAGAGAACCCTAATTTAACTAATTCTGTACTACTTCGAAAAGGCAAATTTGAATAAGAGTATTGCTGATCAGCATTATACTATCAACTGCACCTATTTAAACTGTCCTCTACTGTGCATATATACATATCTCTATCCATCATTTACCTTTCAGTTTCTTCTCTTGTTAGTTAGTTTAGTGTACCAGATTTTATGTGTATTTTTTCTTACACAGCAGGCAAAAGTTGAATGTTATGTGCCAATAATATAATGATGAATAGCAGATATGATATTTGGAATGTTTCCATCCTTATTCTGTGTAGTTGAAGAAAGCAGTGAGGTGGCACAGTAGGTAAGGTGTTTGATTCTTATGTTCAAGCACCTGTGGGGACTATGGGTCATGAAATGATGTCCCCAGTACCCACACTTGTCAAAAGACCTTTTTATGGGAATATCACGAACAAGAAAGTGAAATATGTTATGATGTTTCAAGAAAAGAACATCTATTTTCTGTATTAGTCCTGTAGACCACTGCAACTTGGATATAACGAGAAACTTGGTTTTATTAGATTTATTGTTGATTTTCTTTTGCAGTGAGTATTTTTTTTTGAGTGGAGTTTCAGTTTTGTCATCTTTTGTGGGGTAGTCATGTCATTTTGGTCAAAACAAGTCAGTGTTTTTATTCTTGTGTTAATTTTATGTACCTAATGACTTTTATTAATATTTACAATAAGCTTTGCTGTGACCAGAAATGAATGTCAGTTTAAACAGACGACCAGAATTATCAGAGTCCAATCTAGACAGAACCCATTGTATCAATCCATTGTGGCTAGAAGAGATGGCAGTACATTGATGACCAGTTGAAATGAATGTCAGTATATACAGACTACCAGATTTATCAGAGGCCAGTTTAGACAGAGCCCTCTGTATCAGTGCCTTGTCGCTGGAAGAGGTGGCCGTGAGTACATTTTTTGGCAAGACTTCTGCCCGTATCCCCCCTAAATTTTAACCATGAGGAAAAGTTTCTTTGAGTGGCATTTTTAAAAGTTGGATATGTCTTTCAGTATGTGAAGATACAATTAAAGAAACATGCTAAAACTCATCCTTACCAGATGAGGAATATATATTTTCAGGTGATATGATTCGACTAGAATGAAATTTAAGGGGGGGGATACGGGCGGAAGTCTTTCCCATTTTTTGACTCACTTGAAATACTGATGTTCAACATCAATACTATCAAGTTCTCTTGCTTCTCCTAAACAAAGGGAAGGGTGTGTGCTTACAGTGTGGTAACCAGAGGAGACTGATTATATAAGCCAATCAGTTAACCTACACAGGGAGTCAGTTGTCTGTCTGTTATCATATTAGTGTCAGCTGCTGATGCCGCTGATGAGGACAGCCTGGTGTGTTGACCCATGGAGGAACTTCCTTACCTCAGTGCCAGTCAGTTAACAAGGTCAAGGTTGTTGATGGCATGTTTGGTGCTACTTGATGCACACCTATCTGCAGCATTTACAGGACATGTTAAATAGTCTGCTTGTTGAGTCGGTAATGTCAGTTTTATCTTATTGTTTTAGTTTGGGAGAAATACAAATAAAACTAACATTGTGTTTGTATTTACCAGACAAACAGATCACCTCAAAGTAGTTAGAGTCATCATTAAGATGCAACGTGTTATATTTGAGATAGAATAAATCTAAAATATTGAATGTAATAAGTCCATAAAATTTTATGAAGAAACAAATTTTGAAGTAGATTTGCATGTGTGTGTTATTTGTAGATTACTCAGCTTGTATAATGTTTAGGTACCAAAGGAAACATATTTGGGCTGAAGGGGTCGTTGTAGGCACAGGTACTACAGATATGTACCCCAGGTACGTTTCTGTATACAGACATGTACCCTTAATAAAAACAAACTACAGAAACGTACCCGGTACCCTAAATGACGGACAAGTCCATATTCCGCAACCCAACACTGAAACCGTATGTAGTTATTCCCGTTAAGCTGATTGCGAGTGGTGTACGTTGTGCACTGTGAAATATTCGTTACTGTGTATGCTCTTATATAATGGAATCAAATGCATCTTATACAACAGTATGACAGCTTTGATCACGAAAACGGCACAATGCAGAATGGAATCGTCCCAGGGTACGTTTCTGTATTCTGATTTTGGCTAGGGTACATTTCTGTATACAGAAACAAACCTGGGGTACACATCTGTAGTACCCGTGCCACCACCGACCCCAATTCAGCCATATTTGGATGAACTTGACTTTGGAAGCTAAAAAGTCGATTAGGACCATACTCTTAACTCATGTTGCACTGCATGGATCATTCAACAGTGTCGGTCTTTCACCTCATGAGGACAGGTGCTTCCATGCATGCCATTAGAGTCAACTAAAATGGGAATCAGGTGGACATAGTGTGTGATGTGCTGTCCAGGGTTGTGGACTGGTGCTTGTTCTTCTGACCACTGTTTTACCTGATTCAATAATTAACAGGTGTGGAATGGCTTGAATATTGCTGACTTAGCAAAAAAAAAAACAACGTTCACTTGCTTGATTGGGACAACTGGATAGCTTGGTAGTTAAAGCGTCTCATTACCCGGAAGACCAAGGTTTGATTCCCTCCATGGGTATAATGCGTGAAGCCCATTTCTGGTGTCCCCGATTATGCAGTGATATTGCTGGAATATTGCTCTATTAGTACTCTTACAATCGCCAGCGGCTGAAGGGATGGTGTAAATCCAGCTAGGATCCATGCAGGTAGCAAAAGTAATGTAAGTCCCCATGGTTCCTAGTATGGTGATCTACCTTCAGTTGTTGGCGATCTATAGCCCATTTTTACATTGTATTGTCCAAATAGTTTTCTACTTTTACAGATATATGCTAGCTAGTTTTAACTCAATCTGTGATAATCTAGTGGTTTTACTGTCCTTTGCTGACAGGGTTTTATATATTATATGTATGTATTATGAATTTAGAACTAGTTTTAGTCACGATATGGCTGAAATATTGCCGATGTGACTTTAAATCTTAACTCACTCACTCACTCTATTAGCACTCACTTGCTCACTCAATGAGAACTTAACAGGGTTCATTGTTGTGGTATTCTTTCTGAACAGTTTCTTTGAATTTCAGTGTGTCAAGATCTATTCATTGTGAATGTGAAAACATAAATGTGAAACTTTCACTGACACCTGAAATATATCACGTGGTCCCACTTTAAATCTATAGGCGCTTCAGCCTTCAAGTGCTGAATTAAACATGGGTTTTACTGTGTATATACAAACTGACATTGTATATATTCCACCTGTTATTAATGCTGAAGGCTGGAATGCCCACTGTAAACATGTCTACCACCAGCTTTGAGGGAAGGTCTCAATATTTGAAGCAGGTTCTGATTGCCAGTATATGTTCTGATGATACTGGATTGTTGTTCAGGTTTCTTTTCACACAGTGATGATGATGATGATGATGATGATGATGATGATGATGATGATGATGATGATGTGTCTCATTGACAATTTTTATCATTTCATTTCAATCCTACTATTGTTAAAATGTTCAGATTATGTTTGGCTTATTAAATATATTGCTGGACAATGTAATATTCTCATATTGACATTATTTATATGCCATGCTGAATGAAGTGTGGACAAATATGGCACTTTGTAGCCAAAATTAATTTTTTTTATATCAGCAGTTTATACTTTCAACTTTTAGATTCAAATCAATTTTCAATTTTGACACAGTCCCTGTAAAAAGTTAAAAACCAATTACACACTCACCATTTTGTCTGTCTACAGGAAGCAGAAGGGTTTGAAAAAGCCAAGTTTTAAGACCAAGTCCAAATCAAACTCTCTGGGTCGCAGTAAGAAACTTCCAACCTCAGTACCCAGCATTCCCGACCTTACAGCCAGTAGTGAGAGGAACGTGAGTATTCCGAGTGCTCAGACACTATACCCAGGCGAACCGCCACGGTCTGTAAGTAGGTATTCGCTGTTCAGAGTACAAGAGTGCCAAAATATCTGGCACCGACTGTTGTGTCAAATTTGATGTGTTGAAGCTGCTGTTGTCTCGGAAGTAAAGCTTGGTCCCTGCATATTCCTAATGAAGTCATGATTTGCAGTTGTGTAGAACCTCGGATAACTCGAAGTATTTATGTAGGTCCGTTCAGGTCCAACTTATTGGCATTGACAGTAGAGTCAATAATAGTTAAATACACTTACATAACTTTAGTTTATCATAACTGTAATTTGTCAAATTCATTTTAAGTAAAATATGCTTGTCGTAAGAGACGACTAACGGGATCGAGTTGTCAGGCTCGCTGGCTTCGTTGACACATATCATTGATTCCCCATTGCGCAGATCGATGCTCATGCTGTTGACCACTGGATTGTGTGGTCCAGACTCGATTATTTACAGACCTCCGCCATATACCTGGAATATTGCTGAGTGCAGCGTAAAACTAAACTCACTCACTCACTCACTTTATGTAAAATGTGTTGCAGATGGTTAAAAACAGCTTGTTATATCTGTCAATGTGTTATAAGCATGTCTATTATGAGTGCAGTTTACTCAAGTATCATTGTTCTTTTTGTTGTTCTGAAACAACGCTTACATCCTCTTGCACTAGGTCGTGTCAGAGGAAGAAGACTGGGAAACTGACAGCAACAGCACCACCTATGAACCAATCCCGGGCGAGAGTCTGTACGAAGAGGCGGACTTCTTGACTGAGGAAAAAGACTCGAGGAAAAAGCGTGATGGTCCTTCGCAATCCCTTGGTGACAAAATCAAGGCCAAGGTCAACATATCAGCCCAGGCCACTAGTGTTCTGAACAAAATTGGAAACAAATTTGGTAAGATTGGTAAAACTAAAGGTTCTGAACCACCATCAATTTCGACCGGAACTGATTCTGATATGGAAGCTGTAGATGAAGCACTTGGTGATGAGTTGGAGAAGGTGTCGTCCCTTTCACGGAGCTCCAGTGAGAGGAGCAGTGGAAAGAGGCAAAAGAAAGAACTCAGTGAGACAGTCTCGTCCAAGTTATCAGAGGACGAGGGACTGTCTTGTCCCACACCTCCTCCCCCTCCCACCAAGATCGTCCCGGGTTCTAAACCAAACAAACATCGAAAACTCGCCCCCACTTCCTCCCCGGAATCAGTCGACATCCGGACCCACACTGGATATGGTCATTCCGGCACCGGAAAGGGCGCCGTCGTCTCATTCCACAGGTGACCTTCGTCGTAAAGGTCAGCTGAGTGTGAGCAAGGACAGTTACCTCCATGGCCAACATCTCAAGTCCGCATCACTTGGAGACGTCCCTGCTTCCATGGACCACACAGATGGCAATGGCGAGGAATTTCCAGGTAGTTCATGTGCAGTCAGGTTTTATTATACACTACTCAACTTTTGAAAGGGATAATCTGATATGTCATTCAATTCAAAGGTGGATACTACATAGTAGGGATGGATCTTGAAGTGGATCATAGAAATCAATGCTTGTCAGGAAGTATCGATCGATTATCAATAAATATGGGTGAAGCAACTTTGAGCAAAATGGAAAAAAATGTCTGAAAGAAATCAATGTATTTCACATCACCATCGCACATTAAAGTAACATGCTGTGATATAACTAAAAAATTGTTCAAAGTGACACCAAACCAAAACTTACTCACTCGTTCACTTTGTGTAGATGGCTATGTGGATTATGACCCTTCCACTGGGCGGACTGGCAAGACAGAATCTGTCGACAGGAGAGAGTGAGTATATTTAATTTGCTTCCTTCCAGCATCTACTTCCCAGTTTACTTAAACTTCCTGTGTAAAATTTTCGCATGAAATATTATGCGTTTCTTTTTCTGAAGATTTACTATTGTTACCAGTCATTCTTCAAGCTGTTCTTCTGTAATGGCATTTCTGCTGCAGAATAGGTTCCCAGTAGCCGATTCTTAGGATAGAATGGGGGTTTGAATTTGTCTCCGGACAACTATGGTTGTTGAAAGAAAGAGCTTAGTGGCTTGGTGTATTGGTTGATTGTTGATCCTGTATTTTACTGATTTGTGTCGACCTGATTAAAAATATTGAAGTTTCTGTGAATGTAGCTGGAATATTGCTGAGTGTAAATGACAAACAAAAAGTTGTAGTAGGAGCCCAGAGGGACAGGGATTAGTTGATAGTAACTGGATGACTGCTTGTTGACCATATTGGAGTGGATTATGTTAGAATTGGTCTTGATGACATCAGCGCGCGCTCGTCTCTCGTGAAGATTTGGGTTAGAATTGGTCTTCAGCAACACATGCTTGTTGTAAGAAGCCACTAAAGAGATCAAGTGGTCAGGCTTGCTGACTTGGTTGACACATGTCATAGTGTCCCATTTGGGTAGATCAGTGTGATGTTGATCACTGGATTGTCTGGTCCATACTCGATTTTTTGCAGACCACTGCATATAGGAAAGTTGCTAAATGCTGCATTAAACAACAAAACAAACTGGTTCTGTCATGGGTCTTATTTGCAATGATATAGTTTAACATTAAACAATTTTTGCCGGACTTTTCTAAAATTCATCTAAACCCAGCTGGGTAAGAATTGTACTCATCAACCTAAGCTGGTTGTTAGACTGACTGACTTAGTTTGGTTTTACGCCGCTTTTAGCAATATTCCAGCAACATCACGGCGGGGGACACCAGAAATGGGCTTCACACATTGTGCCCATATGGGGATTCGAACCCGGGTCTTCGGTGTGACGAGCCAACGCTTTAATCGTTAGGCTACCCCACCGCCCCTGCTGGTTGTTAGAGGTGACTAAGTGGATCAGATTGCCAGACTCAGTGACTGGGTTCCCTGTTGGTGTGAATCATTGCTCACATTGTCAATCTCTGGTTGGTGTGGTCCATGCCTGACTAATTACACTGGGGGCGGTGGGGTAGCCTAGTGGTTAAAGCCTTTGCTCGTCACACCGAAGACCCGGGTTCGATTCCCCACATGGGCACAATGTGTGAAGCCCATTTCTGGTGTCCCCCCACCGTGATATTGCTGGAATATTGCTAAAAGCGGCGTAAAACCATTCTCACTCACTCACTCACTTTCTCACTCAATTCACACTCTGATGTCATAAAGCTGTAATACTGTTGACTTAAGTATTAACCAACAAGAATAACGTTGAATTCATCTGCGATGTGAAGGAATGGAAAGTTACATGTGGTCAATGCTTTTGCAGTTAACTGGTTTTTGGTCAAGACTCAGTTATTTCAAGGGCAATATGATCTACTGTTGTATGGCTGTACTCATTCATGCTGGCATATGATAGTTTCTTGGTGAAAAAAGGATTTAAGAATTCACTGAACATAAGGGGTATCATGACATTGTACCGCATCATGAGAACATTTATCAGCACAAAATGACGAGTGGATATGCAAGGATGACATGTAATATTCTGTCAGGGTTGTCTTCCTTCTGACACCCACATGGGTACAATGTGTGAAGCCCATTACTGGTGTCCCCAGCCGTGATATTGCTGGAATATCGCTAAAAGTGGCGTAAAACTAAACTCACTCACTCACTTCCTTCTGACCAGTTACATGTGTAGCTAATGCCTTTTGAAAAGCCTTCATAGCTGATTAATTACCAGAATGTTAGTTATGATAGACAATTTGGAGACATGTACACTATGTTATCAGAATAGCTTCCACACCAGTCATAATAGGTCACTGTGACATTTGCTGGGTCACAGTGACCCAATGTCATCTTGACTTGTCTTTTCCATGAGCAGTTGTATTTCATGAATATTGTGTTTATGTATGGTAAGAAGTATGATTATCAGAAAAGAAGACCTTATTTCCATGTGTTTCTGGGATTGCTGTATCAAAGTAAGGAAATACAATAACGAGGATTTATGATGTGTGCATGTATGAAATTATAATTTTGTGATAGGTATTCCTCTGATATCTCTGCATTCCACAGTCTATCTACTGCACCTGTATGTGGGTCTGGTGCAGAGAAATAATGGTCCCTAAATAGCTATCGTTAGATAACATTTTCCTCACGGGTAACATCTCAGACAATATGTTGTTGAATTTTGGCACCAGTACTTCCAGGGACTGTCAATATGAACTTGGTGTGGTTTGCAGCAAATCTGATTGATTTTTTGCAAATGATGGAATTGTGACAATGATAGAAGTCCCCAAAGAGAGTATCAGTATAAAATACTGTAGAAATCCAAGCATCATATTTAAGTCTCAACAGATTTTGACAAAAAAAAATAAATCTTTGCACAGTTTTGCTAAGACATCTGTGAAGAAAAAGAAAGGATCTTTCTTCAGGTAAGTATTTAAAAGTGTTAGCAGTTTGATGTTGTCACGGTAACCAAGTCAGTTACAGCATGTTGTGGTGGCAATGTCATTGCTGCCATGGTAACCTTTGTTCACTAGCAATCAAGCATGTTGCCATAGAAGATGGATCCATCACCATGGCTACAAAGAGCTTAGTTTTCCTCACTCTTCACCAGATGATGGTTTGTGTTGCCATGGTTACACAATACCCATCCTTCGCATGTTGATGTTGTTCTGAGATTTATAATTTGAGAATTTTCTTGATGTTTTCTCTTCTGTCGGCATGAGCTTGATCTGTTGTCACAGTTTGTTTGTTCTCTAGGTTATTGAAATTGTAGACACAACTCTTTACAAACATGTGAGACCCGTGAAGATCTGGGTTAGAATAGGTCTTCAGCAACCCATGCTTGCAACAAAAGGTGACTATGCTTGTCATAAGAGGCGACTAACGGGATCGGGTGGTCAGGCTCGCTGACTTGGTTGACGCATGTCGTCGGTTTCCAATTGCGCAGATCGATGCTCATGCTGTTGATCACTGGATTGTCTGGTCCAGACTCGATTATTTACAGACACTGCCGCCATATATCTGGAATATTGCTGAGTGCGGCGTAAAACTAAACTCACTCACTCACTTTACAAATGTGTAATGTGAACACTGAAAACAACATACTAATGGCAAACAGTAGGGTAGGCTTGTAGTTGAAGTGTATGCCAGTCATGCCTCAAATTAGGGTTTTGGTTCACATGGGCATGATGTGTGAAGCATGTTTCTGATGTTTCTAAATGTCATATTGCTGTTATATTGATGTAACATTGTTGAAAACAGCATAAACCATACTCACTCACTCACTCACTCACTCACTCACTCACTCACTGACTCACTTATGGGTATGACCTGATTGGTCCTCTTCAGTGAAGACAACTGTCAGAATTCTGGAGACAAATTTGTTAAATCAGTTGTCCAGTTTCCTGAAACAATTCGTAGGCAGAGTTGCATCCCTTAGCCGTGCCAGGAACCTATGACAGTGGGTTCTTATCCTTGTATTTGAGGTACTACAGCGTCCTACATATCATGACATCTGGAATTCCACTAGCAAGGATCAATATATGGCATACGAAAAGGGGTTTGGCACCCTCAAAGATTGTTACCTTCCTTGTAAAGTCAGGCAGCGCAGTAGCTTAGTGGTTAAAGTGTTTGCCCATCACTCAAAGCTGTCAAGCACTGTTTTGCTGAACCGTCATGAATTAAGAGGCTACTGTAACATTGCTTATATCTTGTTGTCTGCAGCATAAATCCACTTTTCACTCACTCCCTCACTCACTATAGTAAAGTCATGTGTTGTCTGTACCCTTTGCTCCAGGACACATTTTTGCCTATGTTTGTTCAAACAAGAAATGCTTCTATGATAATTCTACAGTGGTCAATACTGTATAGAGTTTGTGTAACTATTTTCCTACAGTTGGTTAATGAGATATCAACTTTGGGGTAGCCTTGTGGTTAAAGCGCTCACTCATCATGCCGGGTTTGATTCCCCACAGGGGCAAATATGTGAAGCCCTTTTCTGGTGTCCCCAGCCATGATATTGCTGGAATATTGCTAAAAGCGGCATAAAACCCCATACTCACTCACTCGGAATTGAGTGATTGTTCCTAAAGAAATCAATCTTGATGCCACACAGCTATATTATTGTGTATTGGATGAAAAATTTATACAGCTGAAATAATGCTGTTACAATTATTTGATTTTTATGTTTTAGTACTGAAACGGCTTTATTGATCAAATGTGATGTGCCTTTTCATTCACAAAAACATTCATACGAAAATAGTTGCCATGGTTACATAGCATACCAGTTGCTTGTCACAAGAGATGGCTGTGAGGATGATTGGGTGGTCACAGTGTTTGAATGTGCATCATAGTATCCTGATGGTATCAGCGCTTGTCTCTCGTGAAGATCTGGGTTAGAATTGATCTTCAGCAACCCATGCATGTCGTAAGAGGCGGCTAACAGGATTGGATGGTCAGGCTTGCTGACTTGCTGACCATGTCATCGGTTCCCAATTGTGAAGATCGATGCTCATGATGTTGATCACTGGATTGTCTAGCCTAGGCTTTATTATTTACAAACTGCTGTGATATAGCTGGAATATTGCTGAGGGCGGCAGTAAGCAACAAACAAACAAACAAACAAAAGTATTTCAACTTCATTTTTCTCTCTGTGAAAAAAGCTGATCATAGCACAAACACCACAAATCAACTCACCTTAGTTGATTAACAGTTGGTAGGACATGCTTGTTTCTCATTAATCTTTATATGTAGTGGCCATCATGCGAGTTGTGAAACAAGCTTCAACAGGCACTGTACTGACATTGGTGTGGCCTTTTTCAGAAAAACTGCCACAGCTGATGACCGGCCAGCATCTAGCACCTCATCATCTGGGTACATCTACCCCGAAACTGATCAATGGAGTCCTGCTGGAGTAGAGGGACAGTCTCTATACCAAGATCTTGTAAGTCAGGAGGATGAGAGATGACGCTACTTTCCTCACACTACGTTTTGGCTCAATTTCCAGTTAAATGTTAAATGTTGACTAAAAATGTGTCGTGAACTATAGACATGACTATGAAAAAATACTTACATTTTAGGTTTGCAAATTATACTGATGATTTTCGGTATTGTTTAAATCATTGCAATACCTCGAGGACCAGACTTGATATAGTACTTCTGAATATTTAGTACAGTTACTGCTCTGGGCTTAAGAAGTTCGTAGGGATACGAACGTTTCGAGAATAGCTAGCCTGTTGTGTTGTAGTTGTGTGGTGCTATGGAAGACTGTTCACCCAGTTTGGATTCCTCACTTACAATATCGCAAGCTTGTGATTTCACAAATATTATCAGTATAACCATGTTATAATGTTAAAAGTAACAATGGAGTGATCTCCCTTGCTGTAGAGTGATCTCCCTTGCATGAGTTGCTTCCCTTTACACATGGTGTTGATTTTGCAGGATGATGATCAGGTGTACGGCCGACTGGGTAAAGAGATGAAGATAAAAACAAGCAAGTTTGTCAATGAGCCTCTCTATCAGTATTACACGAAGGAGAACGTCATCCGAGCTAACCGCAAACTGAAGATGGAGGAGGCCATTAGTGATGATGATAATGGTGAGTATTTGGGTCACATTGATGATCTTTTCACATCTGATTGTCTCAGACCTGTGTCTACATTTTTGCTCTCCTGAACAAACAATTCCTTTGTATACTGTTTGTGATGACAAGGTTTAGGGTTGGTGGGGTAGTCTAGTGGTTAAAGCATTCACTTGTCACACCAAAGACCCAGGATCAGTTTCCTTCGTGTCCAATATGTGAAGCCCATTTCTGGTGTCCCTTGCATTGATATTGCTGCAATATTGCTAAAAGAGGTGTAAAACCTTACTGTCACTCCATGATTTTATGACCCGTGAAGGTCCGGGTTAGAATGAGCCTTCAGTAAACCCATGCTTGTCGTAAGAGGCGACTAACGGGATCGGGTGGTCAGGCTCGCTGGCTTGGTTGACACATGACATCGGTTCCCAAATGCGCAGATCAATGCTCATGCTGTTGATCACTGGATTGTCTGGTCCAGATTCCAAACTCACTCACTCACCCCATGATTTTATGACATTGCTTGTGATGTGAGGCTTCAAATACAAAGCTGTTACCTACCTATGAAAGATTAGGAAATTCTGGCAGATCCTACCTGTAAAGCATTCTTCTTCCCACAGAGTTTACTCCTGTCATATCTTCCCACGTAACCTCTGTTCTAATAATGGCCCTTTCATGGTGTGAGCGTTCAAGACTCGGGATTGGAGGCAATCAGATTTAGTTGTGCAATCAGCGGACACAAAAGTGATCATTTGCAGGCCTCGGTAATTTCCATATGCCGAGGAAAACTAAACCTCTTCCCCTGCAGCGATGCGAAGCGCTTTCTTCTAGACAGAACTCAGTCATGTTATGGCAGATCAGTGGCGCTCTCCATCGCCAAGCTTTGACAACGGACAAGCTAGCCATTAAATGTCTTGTGTGTAACATCAACACAAGTCCCTGGCAGATGGGGGATATTTGTGGCCTCACATTTGCTTGTTTTAGTCAAATTGAATCTAAGTCGATGTAAAAGCTGATTGGATAGAAAGAAGGAGATAATTAGTTGTTGCATCTTTTTGCAAAGGGGATTTTACGAAACCGGAAATATGGTATTTGATTAGAACAGAGGTTCCAAGTAACCTCTGTGGGAGAGAGAATGCCTGTAAAGATGAAACATGTTCTTACCCAAATTGGATCAAAATAGAAAATAAAAAGTGTTAATTAATTAGCTAAAAATAAATATTACAGATGACTGAGGATGATGATAGTTATTGGTCCCAGTGTATGTTTTTCCCTCCAAATCTACCTATTGATGAGCAAGTTCTGTTTGGTTTATGCTTGCTAGTTGTTAAGAGAAAGAGAAAGAAAGGTAAGAGTGCTGTTGTATATCTGTTGTTATAGCTCACATGTGTGATATATGTTTGTTTTAGAGTATCAGATATTTCTTGTTGCTAGTTCAGTTGCTTACAAATAAGAAAGAATCATATTTGAAATTTTCAGTGGTTAAAGCAAAATAAATGCATGTAGTATTTTCAGTTTCAGTTAACCATTGACCAATACCTACTGGTACAATAAGCATGTGACATTATAGACACAGGGTTCCAGTTAATGTTATGATACTCACAACTTTGAAAAAATGTAAGAAAATTTGTTAGTCATGATTTTGTTCTAAGGTATTTTGAATTTTCAGTTCAAGCATTGATATTTTGTTTTATATACCTTGTATGCTTTGTGGCTGAAATAATACAGATGTTACGTTAAGTTTCTACTCACTTATACTTGACATTGTAACTATGTTCTGATACATTGCATGGCAATACTGACATGGACAAACTGCTTGTATTGTCATCTTGTAGCCTAAACATTTTGACAAGGAGATTCTTTCAGTTGACGTTGACACCTCATGGTAGATATGATGGTGCCATGGCTATTGTAGAATATCAGAGTATCTGAAGAAGTAGTTGTTGTAGTAGTAGTAGTAGTCTTGATGTTGTTGCTGTTGTTGATGACGTATATATTATCCACTTGAGTGACCAATATTGAAGTAAAACACACACATTTGTGATGTAATTATTGAGTTATATGACCCATTATATTTAATTTAGTTTAAAATGAAGGGACTTTTAGATTCGGTCACATCTGGTTACTAATGAAAATTGAGTGCTTCAGATTCTTAGGAGATGCTGCTATGTTGTCGACTTGCGTTTCCGATACCAAGCTCATGTGTTTCACAGGTCAACTGACCAATTATGAAATTTCTTGAAAATGCTGATGGTGAAGTATGTGCTGTTGCAGAAGGGGGAATATACGAAGATGTGGAGCAGATGATGCAAGATGGGATACTGACAGAGGAGGAGGCCAAATCTGCGGAGGACATCTCGCCAAGCAAACGCTCCACCATGTTGGAAGTCCTCGGACGAACAGGATCACTGCACAGAGCCCTCTGGTGTGAGATGCCGGAGGTAAGGTGTCAGGATGTTCAAATGTTTTAGTTTCTGAATTGTGGTTTTGAATAGGTAAAAGTGTGTCCTTGAATTTTCATGACCTTTACAGAGATTGTGTTGAGAAAATGGTTCCTGTGGCTTGTCATCAGAAACTTTAACATGTGTAATATAGATCACTTCAATTCCACTATGTCAGGGTTTGCAACTCCCAAACATTTCAACCAGACCACAGGGCTGGTTAGACGTAAAACTTGCCAGCCCTGACCAAAACTTACCAGCCCGCAAATAATTTAAGTTTGATAAGCGACATGGTCTATCATCCAATTGGAATTCATCATTTGCTTTCTTACGAGTGAATTAATAATGATTTATTATCCAGAAATATGATGAATATCTTCATATACATGTCTAAATTTTAACCCGAACGTGGGGCAGGTGACTTTGAGAACCTGGCAGTCCGTGTAGAAAATAACCTGTCCCAGGCAGTCAGGCAGGCAGGTATTTCGAACGCTGATTGTATTGAGATGACCTGAATAATGACATGCTGTGATAAATAAAGGACATACTGAGCAACGTGGCATTGACCACAGTCACTTATCGGCCATTCTTAGACATCTGTGTTTCACATTGAAATTTCTGTTTAATGAATTTGAAATATCGTAATGCGAACATGTATTATCATGACATGACCTCTTTGGGGATTGCATGTGTTTAAGAGGCAACTAATTTGATTGAGTGGTCAGGAACTTTGTTGATGGCTTGTCGTCCTTGAACCCTTAAAGCATAGGACTCTCATCATAACATTAAACACTGGTTTGACGGGCCCATATATTCCAGGGGCTAATTTTATGAAAAGTATTGAAAATCAAAATGAAATTGTAGTTATGATAAGGTAGAAATGGTTTTGTCTTGAAAAAAAGTATGTGGCGGGGGCTAAGCCCCTATATTCACAGGTCTCTGGGTTTTCCTGTTAATTTGCTAACCATGGCATAAAAAACAAAATGGTACCCTCATATGTTGTGCTATATTACAGGTTAAGGATAAGAAGGTGCTTGAGACAATGGAACCGCAAGAGAGGAAACTGCAAGAGGTGAGCAGTGTTATTAACCTTTATCTTATTAATAACATACCAAAGCACACTCTGACAACATGTCACACAGTCCGATTGAAGTGACATATAACAACAAGTTCTAATGATATCTTTTTCCATTAATGTTTCCTGAGTGATAACTGGAATGCCACCACGGGAAAGTTTGAGTATATTGGTTAACACACACTTTGTTATTGTCATGTCTTTATGCTCTGTTTGTGTTTCAACAGGCGATGTTTGAGATAGTAACATCGGAGGCTTCGTATCTGAAGAGCCTTAACATCCTCATCACGGTGTTCTTGATCGCACCCGAGTTCTCTGCCGACCACTCCGACCGCTGTGTTGTGACTAAGAGGGAGCGCCAAGTGCTCTTCTCTAACATCGGTGCTATTAGAGATGCCAGTGAAAAGTATGTATGAGTTTTTTTTGTTGATATATATCAGGGTTGTATACTAAAATGACCCTTTAAATGGCACATCTTCTTTGGAATTGGTTCTGTTTCCAAACTGGTCATTAGAGTCAACTATATGGAGCCCAGTGTCAGACCTGAGTGCATAGTATTGGTCTCTGATAAGCCTGTGTTGTGTGACTGGTTAAGGGCAGGGGTGTAGTTCGTAGCCCATATTTGCTTTTATAATTAGCCTCAGGAATGTTGATTAGGTGTATGTGAAGCTATTTATGTTTTGTACAATTATGTTTTTACATAGAAAAGCGGAGTAGTTCTGCAGTGAATGTTTAGTTAGTCTCATGTAGAAAATATAACATGGTGTCCGGTGAAACCAAACCAAGCCATCAACTCACCAAACTACTCACCAACCCCCTTACCAACTTACCAGCTCACCCACTCACCCTCGCAACTCCCCACCTGTCCACCTCCCTCCCTCCCACCCACCCACCCACTCTCCTCACTCACTCACTCACTCACTCACTCACTCACTCACTCACTCACTCACTCACTGTGCTGCTCATTCCTTGCTGACTCAGGAGAGGTCAGACCACTGTGATGCAGATTCCTTGCTGACCCTGGAGGAGAGGTGGCAGACCAACTGTGTGATGAATGACATCTGTGATATCATCTACAATCACTCCCTGAAGAACTTTTATGGGTAGGACTCCGTCCCGTATGTACGCCCGTATACCAGTAAAACCATTCACTATTTCTTCAGGAAACTTGCACATAGATCTGGTGGTGTACACTGGTAGTTTTGGATTTTTGTGAACAATATGGAAAGGTTGAAATTGCTTCTAGCTTTTCTGTGATTCCCTCTTTGGTTATATACACACCTTTATTTGACATATTCCTGACATTTCACACATTCTGGTCATGGCTTTGTTACTTGTATTGTATTACTGAGGACATGTCAATGAAAGACTCTAGTGACAATAACAATTCATTCTGGACCAGATACAAGCAGTGACTACGGGACATTGTTTTTGATAATGTATTTCCGGATAAAAGAATTTTTTATGGTACTACTGACTCCCATTCTCAAGTGAATGTTTACTAAAGCAGGTCATTCAGATGACAGAAGAGTAGTTTTTATATGAGCTAACCAGTAACATTTTGACTGAAATTAACAATTTATGTATATCCATTCAGGAAACGCGTAGAGTACGTAGATGCTGTGCGTCGTCTAGAGCGTAATCCTGAGTGCCAGTCACTGCCAATGTCGTCGTTCCTGTTGCTGCCGATGCAGAGAATCACCAGACTGCCACTTTTGGTGGATGCCATTTGTCACCGTCTCGAACCAGGTTCTGATCGACACAAGTCTTCTGCCAGGGCTCTGGAAAATCTCCACAGGGTGAGTGGATACAAGATGATATATCAGAAAGATACCAGACATGTCCATGAGTCAGGGTGTATTCCACTGTACTTCCTCAGTAACTGGGCATGGGTGCCCCTTTTGTCTAAGGCTGCAGTTCGCTAAGCAGAGTTGTCTCCCTTGGGGATTTTGGAAGCCTTTAGGTGATTGGGTATGGGTGCCCCTTTTGTCTAATGCTGCAGTTTGCTAAGCTGAGTTGTCTCCCTTGGGGGTTTTGGAAACCTTTAGGTGATTGGGTATGGGTGCCCCTTTTGTCTAAGGCTGCAGTTCGCTAAGCAGAGTTGTCTCCCTTGGGGATTTTGCTTTAGGTGATTGGGTTGTGCCCCTCCTGCAGTTCCCTAAGGAGTTGTCTCCCTTGGCGATTTTGGAAACCTTTAGATGATTGGGTATGAGTGCCCCTTTGTCTAAGGCTGCAGTTCTCTAAGCAGAGTTGTCTCCCTTAAACCTTTAGATGATTGGGTATGAGTGACCCTTATGTCTAAGGCTGCAGTTCTCTAAGCAGAGTTGTCTCCCTTGGGGACTTTGGAAACCTTTAGATGATTGGGTATGAGTGCCCCTTTTGTCTAAGGCTGCAATTCCCTAAGCAGAGTTGTCTCCCTTGGGGATTTTGGAAACCTTTAGGTGATTGGGTATGAGTGCCCCTTTTGTCTAAGGCTGCAATTCCCTAAGCAGAGTTGTCTCCCTTGGGGATTTTGGAAACCTTTAGGTGATTGGGTATGAGTGCCCCTTTTGTCTAAGGCTGCAGTTCTCTAAGCAGAGTTGTCTCCCTTGGGGATTTTGGAAACCTTTAGATGATTGGGTATGAGTGCCCCTTTTGTCTAAGGCTGCAGTTCTCTAAGCAGAGTTGTCTCCCTTGGGGATTTTGGAAACCTTTAGGTGATTGGGTATGAGTGCCCCTTTTGTCTAAGGCTGCAATTCCCTAAGCTGAGTTGTCTCCCTTGGGGATTTTGGAAACCTTTAGGTGATTGGGTATGGGTGCCCCTTTTGTCTTAGGCTGCAGTTTGCTAAGCTGAGTTGTCTCCCTTTCAGAACAAAACTCTCACCATGGGGTTTCAATGTTGGTTCACCACAGTTAAGCTTTTAGGTCTGTCAGCACCATAACAGTGCTCATTCAGGTTTCTCACCAAGGTGGCAATGTTGTTCAAACAGTTAAGCTTTTAGGTCTGTCAGCACCATAGGGTGCTTGGGTTTCCCAAGGTGGCAAATGTGTAAAATCTGCCTCAATTAGAGCTTTCCTCCCACTAAAAACTAGCACTCACTTTTTAACATGATTAAGAGGTGATCAACATGAATCATGTACAAAATCATTGTTTTGCATCAGGCATTCGATCACTAAGATGAGTATAAAACCCAACTCACTCATTTATTTTACTCTGTTGTTCAGGTGGTGCGGAAGTGCAATGATGGAGCGAAAAAGATGCAACAGACAGAGCAGATGTGTATCTTGGCTTCACAGCTAGACTTCAAGGTCAAGGTCAGTATGATAGAAGCTGTTTTTGCTTGTCTTTCTGGTCTAATCACTGATTTTAGTTCATATAATGTTTTCACTGCTATTTCGTGTTGTAACACCCTAAAAATGTTTTCTGGCAAATAATAGAGAGTGGTTATTCTTTGCTGTTGATGTTAGATTTCTTTGTACAGTCAATCGTCATTAAACTGGACCCCTCCAGTCTTTATTGAGGACAACTATATGTAGCTACATTGCTCTTAATGTGTTATCTGGAAGTATATAAGTCAGGGTGATCCCACTTAGAATGCTACCAACCGGATCAGTGAAGTATCATTGTAGTTTATGACAGTTTTGGTTGACACATGTCATAGTATCCTCTAATTGCGTAGATCAATGCTAAAGATATCAATCACAGGTTTGTCTGGTCCAGACTTGATTATTTACAGACACCCATCGTGTAGCTGGAATATATATTTTGGCGTTGAACACCAAACAAAGTTGACTGCCTCCGTGGTGTAGTGGTTAGAGCGTCCGCCCGGAGAGCGGAAGGTCGCGGGTTCGATCCCCGACCGCGTCATACCAAAAGACGTTAAAATATGGTACTTGTTGGTCCCTGCCTGGCGCTCGGCATTAATGAGTACAACAAGGACTGGTCGGCTCGGAGTCAGTATACTGTGTCTGAGTGGGGTATTCATGCTTAACTGCGGCATGGTATCTCAGTGAGCTAGCACTATAAAATCAGCTTAAGTCTGGGCTAGTACAAGCAGCCGCACATACACAAACACACACATGCATGTCGTCATATTCTCAAGCACGACGTTAAACCCAATTTCACCTCACCTCACCAAACAAAGTTAGGTAATGTTGTGTTTTTTCTGCAGGAAATCCCACTCATCTCATCCTCACGATATATTGTAAAACAAGCGGAGCTTACCCGTATCAGCACCGACGCCAGTAGCCGCATACCGTTTGGCAAGGCATTCAGAGGACCCAGCAAGCAGAACATGTACCTGTTTCTGTTCAACGACATGGTCATGATCACCAAGAAGAAAGGGTAGGATGGATTTCTGTTTTGTTGTCATGGCGATTGTCTAATCTTGGTAGTGATAGTGGTTAATGTATCTAATGTATCGCTATCCTGAATGACAAGATATCTGCATAATGTATGAAGAATGTTGGAGTGTCCCCGGCTTGATATTGCTGGAATATTGTTTGAGGTGTATAACGTTACGCTATCACTTTTTCTTTTACTTCGTATGACCTGTGCTTGTCATAAGAGGCGACTAAGGGGATCGTGTGCTCAGGCTCGCTGGCTTGGTTGACATGTCATCATATGATCTAATTGCATAGATCGATGCTCATGTTGTTGATCACTGGTTTGTCTGGTCCAGACTCAATTATTTACAGACCGCAACCATATAGCTGGAATATTGCTGAGCGCGGTGTAAAACTAAACTCACTCACTCACTCGGATGTTACAGACTGACGTCATGTAGCTGTAATATTGCTGAATACAGCGTTAAACAACAAACAAATAAAGAATAAAGAAAATGAAACATTAAACAACAAAATAAATACTTGTCTGATCTGGTGTCATCTTTACCTGTCAGTTATTCACACATACAGTCTGACTACAGCTGACAGCAAACCAACATTCACTCACTCACTCTATGTAATTTCAACCATAAATCCTAACGAACTTGGCCATATGTTTCTCATGCTTTGCTTCAGTAACTTAATTGTGATCAGTTGTCCAACAGATAGTTTCTGTTTTCAGCAACTCTTACTCTGTGACTGATTATTGCCAACGGAACTCTCTTCACGTGGAGGCAATAGACAACGTAGAGAAGTGTCGCCTGCTGCCCCAGGGTGTGCCCCATGGCTGCAAGAACCTGTTCCTGCTTGTCATGTTGGAGAACTTCGAGAAGAAGCAGGTTGAGATGGTCCTGGCATGTCCATCAGCGTAAGTTGGCGGCCATTGCTGAAATAGTATCACTGGGCTATATTACGGTGACTACTCCTTTGTGGAACATAGCAGAAATTAGAACTGAAATCTTATAAAGTCTTCATTTCTTGTTTTCCAACACCTCTGATGAAGAGGCAAAACGTGACAACTATGTTTAATATCTTACCAGCTACTGATTATTTTAAAATTAGCATGTATCATAACAATTTTAGACTTAGACAACCCCCCCCCCCCCAAAAAAAAAAAAAAAAGAAAAGAAAAAAGGTACAATAAAATAATAAAATACTGTATTTGGCATCGTATCATGATAGACCTGCACATTGGCTTAATGCATCGAGATAGTATGGCTGTAGAACAGCAGTTCAGTTCCTGGCTGTGTCATACCAAAACATGTTAAAAGATGGTACTTGTTGTTACTCTGGCTAGCACTCTTCATTTAGGAGATAAAAGAAGGACTGTGCGGCATGGAACCATATATTGTGTCCGAGTGGATAATACATGGTAAACTAAGGGGATCTTTGTTGGCTAGCACATTAAACTCCATGATAATGCTACTAGGTACACAAACATGCTTCTGTCTCAACATATGTTAATGTGAGATAATACGATTTATTACCTACGATGGCGAACATATCGGGGTAAATATTTTTCATACAATTCCCTAGTGCAAAATATCACTTTGTCATGGTGACTTGATGTCACGTTTCTTCTGTGACGTTGCTTTCTACATGCAGCGACTGCAGGTAGACAGCCTATGTTTGAAAGTAGATTTGGGTTTATTTTCCTCAATTTGACGACTTCGGTAATAAACAGAATATTATATTCATGCCCATATCATACTATGTTTACGACACTCGTGCCTAAATATCGGTATATCTCTCGCTCTCCCTCGGGAAATACCAACATTTAGGCACTCGTGTCGTAAACAAAAATATGACATGGGCACTCATATAATATCCTCTATATGTTAAACCCTCTAATCCCATGTTGGTTTCCAGGAGCGACAGGACTCGGTGGATTGATGCAGTCACTCCAGTACAGACATCGGAAACAGAAAGAATTTATGAAGACTGGGGTGAGTGACTTAAACCAGAGTTGTCCTTTTCCTAATTCTGCCCCACCTTAGGACAGAAGCCCAGCAGTTAAATGTATGCAATAGTAGGCTCTATAAGGGTCAAAACCAGTCTTTTTTACCTGAAAAAAAACCCAAACCCAACTCCAATAATGAATGAGGACAAAGTCCTCAGCTGATAGCCCTATTATCTTTTCCTTAAAGTCAAGTGGGGCGGTGGGGTAGCCTAGTGGTCAAAGCGTTGGCTCGTCACGCCCAAGACCCGGGTTCGAATCCCCACATGGGAACAATTTGTGAAGCCCATTTCTGGTCTCCCCTGCCGTGATGTTGCTGGAATATTGCTAAAAGCGGCGTAAAACTAAACTCAGTAAAGTCAAGTACTGACCAAACATGAGGCCTATGTGATTGTTTTATTATATAAAGAGACATAAAGCAGATTCAACACGCATACAAATTTGTTTGTTGCAATATAGTTTACTGGTACGAAGGATAGGAGACATCGGATTTGCTCACATTTGGGGAAAAGCATTTGAAATTATATCTATTGTTGACTCAAGTCAATACAATAAATTATCAGACCTGACTTTGCATCAGTCTTGAAAATTTGTCTTGTTTAAGATCAACCTTTAATTCCAAAATAGGGCCCATATTCAGTGGCTCCTGGTGTGATATGTTTGAGTTACTGATAAAGTGTACCTCGTTTTACTCCCGTGTGTATCAGGCCTACCATACAAACGGTGAACAAATCATCAAAACTGAACTCATATACACCAAAACAGAACAAAAACCACCAAAACTGCAACAATATCCTCTAAAACCAAAACAATACATCTGTAATGGAAGACAAATCTTTTGAAATGGAAACAAAACTCGCGTATCAGCTTCAAGAGCGCGCGAGAACGGTCGCCGAGCGTACAAAATGGCATTCATAGCATCCCAACACGGCAGTCATAGCATCCCGAAACGGCATACAAATCGTCAAAGATGGCGTCGAGGGGAGACGAATAGGCTTTGGTACATAATTGTTTTTTCGTCACTTGAGTCTAATCTTGTAAATTTGATATCGGGATGTTTTTAGACTTGATGATATGTTCACCGTTTGTATGGTAGGCCTGTGTATAACCCACTTCTTGTGTCCCTGCTTCTGGAATATTGCTGAAACAGCATAAAACCCAACTGACTCACAATAGACGAAAGTCATCTGCTTGTACAGTATCTTCTTTAGCTAGATGCTGTGGCCATGTCAGTATTGCAGTCCGTAAAGGAGGACAACAGTGAGTCTGGCATCATAACAAGTGTAACCCATTGCAGTGGGGAGGGTGGTGGGGTGTGGTGGGGTGGTAGGGGTTGAGGGGTGTACAGAGGTGATGGATGGGTACTGTTAAAGTCACTGTCAGTTTTGCATTGTGTAAAGGAAAACAATGGTGAGATTTACATCATAAGTGTAACCCGTTGGCATGAGAAGGGTCCAGGGGTGGGGTGGTGGAGGGTTGTATAGGTGTGATGGATGGGGTTCTGCGGTGTCATTACTGCAGTGTAGAGGCAGACATCAGTGAGTGAACATCATTATGAGTAACCCATGGAGATGGAGGCTGCAGGTGCTTGGGATGTAGTGAGTGAGTGAGTGAGTTATTATTTAACGTCACATCGGCAATATTGCAGCCATATCGTGACGAGAACATTTTATAATTATATTAAAGATGAATAAAGTTAGAAATTAAAAAAACCTGTTGAGGAAGAACAGTAAAACTACTAGTGTATCACAGATATCCATTTAAAACTAGCAATTAAATCTAAAATATTGGAACTATAAATGACAATACAATATAAAAACAGGCTGTATATTGCAAACGACTGAAGGTAGATCACCATACTAGGGACCATGGGGACTTACAGTACATTTGCTTCCTGCATGGACCCTAGCTGGATTTACACCATCCCTTCAGCTGTCAGCAAGTTTAGACAATTTAGCCATAAGTTAAAATAACACATATTCTACGCTTAAAAATAATGGTATGTTTAAATTTACTTTGAATGTTTTGGGACTTACGCTTGGGATGTAGAATGGTTTAGTTGTTTGAGCTTTATGACACTGATGGGGTACTGCATAAGGCAGTTTCAGTATTGCAGAGTGAAGTTGACAACAGTGTGTGAACAATCATTATCCATGTAACCCATGGAGATGGAGGCTGCAGGTGCTTGACTGATTCTTCTTTTGTATGTACAGCTTGACAGATCTGACCTCTGTACATATGTTCGGGTGAGCTGTTGCATGATGGCATGTTTTAGTTCCCCAATTCCATACATTTGGTGAAGCCATTTTCTGGTGAGAGTACTACTGTATTGACGAAGACAGAGGAAAGTTGCAGGAACATTCAGAGTTGTCTCCCTTGTGCAAAGTGTGGGTTTAAATCCTGATTATGGCTCCTGCCATACACAGCTGACACTTCATTGAAGCTCAAACACTGCTCACAGGGGAGTTCAAGTCACACAGCCCTTCATGGTCAGCTATTCGCTGTACAGAGTTGCATCCCTTAGGCAACTCTGAAGTCTATGAATCACATAGCATGTTTCTTGTTGTATTTGTATAAAAGCTTTAAAATCTTTAGACCTGTATTATTTCTGGCTTTCCTAAAACCATATAGTGGACAGGCTGTGAAGTTACTTATGTTCAGTGGGATGTTAAAAGCGTATCTTTGTGGTGGCACGTTGTCCTGTGCATAGCGCTCAGGTCACAAATCAGTTGAAGTTAAGCAACGTTGGGCTCAGACAGCCTTTGGATTGGTGACCATGTTGGCAGCTTAACTCCTGAGAGTTTTGTAGGACTGCCCCACAACGAAGCACATGTGATACATGTTGTCTCACCTTAGGCAAGTGAGTTTGTTCACCCAGCAGGAAATGGGTACCCGGTGAAATAAGTCGTGAGACTATTAACCTTCTAGCGCCTAACAGGCAGCTTGGGTTATCCGGGGTAATAATGATCAGATTGTGCGCTTTGAGCAGGATACCTAGCCTGGAAAAGGAGTTATAAATATTCTCATTACTATTATTATCTTTAGACCTGTATTGTTTCTGGCTTTCCTGAAACCATATAGTGGACAGGCTGTGAAGTAACTGTTATGTACAGAGGGATGTTAAACCTAACTCACTCCCCTGTGGTGTTGCAGACTGCCCCCCAGGTGCAGTGTGTGAAGAAGTATGTAGCCCAGGAACCGGACGAGTTGAGTCTGGAGGAGTCGGATGTGGTCAACGTCTACAAGAAGACTGAGGACCGTGAGTATCCCATCGTACATCTTTGACACCCTAGGGATTCTGATTCTGAATAGTTCCCAGAAATATATGGTCGTAGTAAGAGGTGACTTTATGGGTTACGTTTATGTTTTGGCTCGATATCTCAGTTGATCATTGCCCTTGTACTTCCCCAGACTGGGTTATTTACAGGCTGCAACTGTAGCCATGGAAGGTTCCTGATTGTGCTGTAACACAATATTCACCCTCTCAATGATATATTCAGAGCTACCTATTAATGTAATGATAAAGATAATTCTATAATCATTAATTTTGGAGCATTTATGAGTTTAAAATATATGTCTCTCTTCATGCTAATATTATCATGACTATTGTATTTTTACAAATGGACTAGCATGAGATTGCTTACCAGGTCTCTATTTTGAATACAGTCTGTATGTGTTGTTGAGACAAATGACAGTATACTGATGTGCACCGTGGAAGCCTGACTCTGCTGATTTGGTCCAAGTATTTTGGTTTATCAGCACCATGTTGGTGCACGTCATTTCTGCCAAAGTGTTAATGTGTGACCGCTTTGTTTTGTGTTTTCCCTGCTATATTAAAACACTCTGAGGTTTGACTGAAACATGTGAATATAGCTCTCTCACACTTTTTTCCCTATATGTGATTTACTTATACAAATTCTTTTTATTGACACAGAGTGGTATGAGGGAGAGCGTATTCGTGACGGTGAACGGGGCTGGTTCCCAGCATGCTACACAGAAGAAATCATGAACTCACACGTTCGATCCCGTAATCTACGCCTTAGGTACCGGCTACTGTTGGCATCGCAACAATACACGGAAACGGTCGCCAAATAGTCATGTGACGATCGAAAACAATGCAAATTAGTAGAGACACAATTTCAAGATGTTGCTAAGCATCCACTAAGACGTTTCATAAAGTGAATTTCAGATGCTTCTATATGAAGTTTAGCAGCATAAATGACATTTCAAATGAAGATTTTGCATGGTATATATGCAGTAAAGAACATGAGGACGATTATTGCCAAGTGTGGCATCATTTAAATGTCATGTGATCAGAAACTATGTACAAACTAGTCGTGTGACCTTTGACAGTCTTTTTGACGTGTCATGTGATGTGCGGGTCACAGTAGTCTACTCGAAGATTGAGTTGCACTCAACTTACATATCAGACTCTCATGACCATGTTATTGTATGTTGATTGTATGAAGTTATTTTGTTGATATTGAGCATCAGTGGATTCTAGCCTGGGTGTTTTACTGCTCCTTGTTCACCCAACATTCAGCTAGATCTTGTTCCTGTGGCCAAGTCTCTGTGAAATTCTTCGTCAGTATTTGTACATTGTGTACTAGAATGTGATACCAGCTTGAGTGATGATGTTGCAACAGTTTGTGTGGTCTGGGGCTGTACAGAACACAGTGATGGGGGACATGTAAAGCGGGACATGTAAAGTCACACTGACTGGTGTATGTGATTGGTTAACAGCATGTGAAGACTGGTCATGGTCAAATACCTTTGATGCGTCAAGGTACTTGGTGAATGTATGTGAGGTCAGTCTGACCTTTGATGTGATTGGTTAAAAGCATGTGAAGGCTGGACATGGTCAAATACCTTTGATGGTTCGAGACACGTAATGGATATTTGTTGGTTTGATCTGTATATTCTGAGTTAATACTATGTGAAGATTGGACATGGTCAAGTTCCTTTGATGCGTCAAGGTACTTGGTGAATGTATGTGAGGTCAGTCTGACCTTTGATGTGATTGGTTAACAGCATGTGAAGATTTAACAAGGATAAGTACCTATGGTACGTGGTTGATGTATGTGAGGTCAGTCTGACCTTTGATGTGATTGGTTAACAGTATGTGAAGATTAAACAAGGATAAGTACCTATGGTACATGGTTGGTGTATGTGAGGTCACTCTGACCTTTGATGTGATTGGTTAACAGCATGTGAAGATTAAACAAGGATAAGTACCTATGGTACATGGTTGATGTATGTGAGGTCACTCTGACCTTTGATGTGATTGGTTAACAGCATGTGTAGGTTACACAAGGGGATGAATGACTACAGTCGGTGTGACGTGTATGATGTGATCAACCAATACCAACACGGTGTGATGCTGCATGAGTTGGAATTATGGCCATGGTTTGATCAAGGTCAGCTTGACCTCAGAGAGTATGGAACTGGGTCAGCTTGATCTGAGTTTTGGAATAAGGGCAACTGCTTTAATGTTTCTTCAAGTCATGTCAGAAGGATAGAAGAGGGTCAAGCACACAAAAGAGACTTCAAGGTAAGGACCTGAAGGATTGAATTGAGCCAAGGCATAGTTGCTCCTTAAGGTCTCCACCAGCATGACTAGAAGGATGGAATCGAGTCAAGCCATCACTGATTTTCAAGGTCAAGCTGCCCTGAAGTCTCTGACAAGGCATATTCCATTTTATTTGCTTAACTTCAATGTATGATGTGTACCTGTGGAACGGACCAAACTGTCCTTTATATGTACAGTTGATGTAAATTAGAGGTGTTGTTTCATGGGTCCAATCCATCAGCCTGACCTTGCTGATCAAGTGATTCAAGGGTTTTACATGAGAGTCAACAAATGTGAAACAAACTGAGTGTAAACATCCAAATGATGGCATATTTTAACATGTTCAGCCTGGAACACACGACTGAATTTTTATCCTTTTAACATATTAAAGTTAAATTGGAAAAGGTATATGTGAAATACAGTTGCTCAACTTAACAAAGGACTGATCTAGTGCATAGATATTACATGAAGCACCTGGTGCAAAGACAGAGAAAGAACTGTCAGAAACTGTTGCCCACTTGATATGCTGTTCCCATGGAACTACTAGTATCATCTTTGTCATGCAAAATGAATATGCTGTGACTTTTATTTCATGACTTGGGATACAACATGTTGATTATTTGGCAGACATGTGTTTGTGTTTCTGGTTATTGCTGCTATTAGTGCCTATTAGCACCAAAGGTGAGATTTCATGAAATGTTCCTTATCTGGTTGCCATGGTTACTCTACCAAGGGTGTCCAGTCAAATACTCTGTAAGCTATGCTAAGCAGATACTTTAATATGTACCACAAGTCTACAGTATGTACATAGTTCATTTATTACACCTCCAGGTATTGTTTCATTTGGCATTAATGGTTTTTGATATTAAATACGCGTTTGTGATTATTGTAAAGAAAATATGTATTTATGTTTGTAATCAGGAAATCATATATCTCATAATTATTCAGTTTTCAACTGTGGTTCTTTTGTAAGAATGGTTAACACTGCTGACATTAGTAAGGGATTTCAATGCTGTATTTAAGATACTTAGTGCCCTGAACATGATTAGATTTACTATATACTCCAACCATTTATGCATGGAGTTGTTAGCCAAAGGGTATCAGAAAATTATCATACTTTAGCGAGGATCTGCTTCTCATTGGTTGGAATCCTATATGTGTCTCAGTTATCATTTTCTCTACCTGCCAATTTTTATTATTTTTGTGTGAAGATTGGACATGGTCAAGTTCCTTTGATGCATCAAGGTACCTGGTGAATGTATGTTAGGTATGTCTGACCTTTGATGTGAAGATTAAACAAGGATAAGTACCTATGGTATATGGTTGATGTATGTGAGGTCAGTCTGACCTTTGATGTGATTGGTTAACAGCATGTATATACTATATACTAGTAGTTGATATCTGGTTGAAGTCACAGAGTGTAAAGAAAAAACAGATTGCTAAAACTAGCTGGCTTATTATGAACAACTTGCAATATGTCACAGTGAACATGTGTTAATTTGAATGGTTCATCCTCAAATAATTATAAGGGGTTAGTATCTTAAGGCCATTGGCAGTCAGTAAAACCAGGAAATGTACTAATGTCTTAAAAATATACTGAAAGAAACAAATAAAGGAACACAAGGAAATTCAAGTGTTCCTTAAATATTTTCAAGTTTTCATCACCAACTTTGAAAGCGCTGTGGGAGGAAGTCTGAGAATAGATAAAGGAACATTGCCATGAAGTTATGTTCCCTTATTTGTTTCCCTCAGTATATAGGGCACTACAGGGCACTAAGTATGTTAAATACCAAAAAGGTAATGGAAGTTAGTGACGTCTGTAAGGTTTGAATCTGGGGTTATTTGAAACAAACTCGACTATCATGCTTTATTTCAAACTCAATACCATCTTTTGTTTGAATAACGTCCGAGTTTATATCTCTGATGTCAGTGTGTTCTGTACAGGCCAACAGGACAGGGATTCATTGTTACACGAGACTGTTGATATTTCACTGGGTGTTGTCGATGATGTTTCTGGCTTATGCAGTGTGTACACATCATGGTGCTCATGACGTCATTGTTGATGTTTTGTAATTATTATAAACAGTCAATTCTAAAAGGTTGACCTTAAATCAGTCACTGTTTGAATCTGTCTGGAGCACTTCTGACTAGGGTAGTGTGGTGCTGTGGTACAGGTATTCAGTAACAAAACCAATAGGTTTGATTCCAATGGGTACAAATGGGACATTGATATGGATGTCCCATTTAATATAGTACTGCAGTTATGTTAACACACATTTCTAAAGGTGTGGCCAAATGTAAAATGTTCGACAAAAGTAATATCTCCTATTTGACATATTGGGGTCTGGGTGGTGTATCCTTCTCCCTGTGGTACAGAGCTGTTTACATTCAACAAGCATTCTGGTCATGTTATTTGCTTAATGGATACAAACCAATGAAATACTTGTTTCAGCATCTGATATCATTCCTTCTTGACGACGTTTTACCTGTATGTATTGATTTTTGTAACATGTTTTGTGATATTTTGCTAATTGTGGGAAACCCTGATTACCTCAGGTCTGAATAACACTGATAGATATACTTCACCATGGAGACTTTGAGACTCATTATAAAAGTACATTGTTCTTAGAAAAGATATGCTTTGTCTAAACTGAACTCACTTGAATAATGATGGTTATAATTTAGTGTCTTTGTTAATGTTAGGGCAAACAGTCTCAGATGAACAAATTGCTGATTCAGCATTCTTTGCTTGACACCCTAGCTGATATCTAGAGGCAGTTTAATGAATGAAAGAGGTATATTTTGGCATTATTACAACAGAAACAAGATGATTGATTGATTTTTGAATCTTCATTGATGTTTGATCTCTGAATGGTGAGTCATACAATGACGACCTTCAAAATGCCCACCTAGCTGTTCCTCAAGGTCATCTGGATGTGTGGATGCCTTGGATCACATCACGAGGAAACCACAAACATTTTTTGTCATGTTTTTTTGTCCAATATTGTGTTCATCTTTTGATACTAGGATTTAGATATTTTTGTAAATGTCATGTGTTTTTAAGCCTTGTTTTTGAAAGCGATTCCGGAGATGATTTGTTGTTTTTTGGACCAGAACAAATTCAGATACAATCCAGTGGTTCTAGGCCGTCTGTGGTCCAGGCATGAATTTTCTCATGTGTTGCTGTGAGTTTTGTATTCTTTTGTGATTATCAAGAGATTCTAAGCACTTAATACTTCAATGTGTAAAACACAGGGTATAATTTGATTCATGAATTCATTTTGACCAGCTGTTTGTTTTAGTTTATATAGCATTTACAGTCACAGTTATCACTGTTCAGATATCTGCAGGATATTAGTTGGCTTAGACCAAACCATATAATTACTTGTTCGGTTGTTCTTTATCAAAATGACAAAACTGTAGGAGGCCAAAAGGAGATGTTTGGCAGAAATGTCTTTTGAGAAACCCTGTTGAAATCAAAGTCTAAAAAATCTCTTGTTTTCTAAAAGGGTATTTTATTACAACAAATTTAGTGTCACTCAACTGTTTAAAAAGAAAGTACATAAAATTCACCTGGCTTGTTTTAGTTTTATTGTTGATGATTGGATCAAGCCAAATGATTGTTTGTCCAGGTTAACTGACTGGTGCCATTTTGCCATTTTTCAGTCACATTTCCAGTAAAAACTTATTTCAGCCTTTATTTTTCAATAAGTAAGCTGTCTGCACAGTTCCTCACTCTTTACTCGAAGTAGCAGCATATACCTGAACCAGTGAGAGGCAACTAATGGGATCGGGTGGTCAGGCTCGCTGACTTGGTTGACACATGTCATCGGTTCCCAATTTTGTAGATCGATGCTCATGGTGTTGATCACTGGATTGTCTGGTCCAGACTCGATTATTTACAGACCGCTGCCATATAACTGGAATATGGCTGAGTATGGCGTAAAACTAAACTCACTCACTCACTATACCCGAACCAAATCAGTTTTGTTTGGTTATGGAGATTTGCATTTGGTTTCTTTGATTTCGACGATTTCGACCTTCCAATCACTTTTCAAATACTTCAACTAATCTGATCACAACTAACTACAACTGAAAAATAAGCACGATTTGTTTATTGACTTCCAAACATAACTACCAAACCCATGAAAGAGAAGCTTTTGATATTTTATTAAGAAATAGGCTTATATATTGATATAGGTCTTGCCACTATATTACCAATTATGTTAAGTGTTATTTCGAGTTCTGTCAAGACATATTTGCTATTCTGAATCATTCCTGTTTTGTGTCTCCAAAGGAAATGAAAATGAAAAGATCATTGAGGACCTGACATAGTCAGGGTTATATTTTCTAAGACCTGGTTGAACATGTGTCCATTCTTCTAGACAAATGTCAGGAGACAATTCACAAGGTTGTATACTGTTACTTGAAAACTTGACTGTTAAACAGGTGTATATGTATTATGAATATTTCTACTAGCATTTATTTTTCATTGAATGCATCATTTTGCTAAAGCTACAGCTTGAATACTTGACAAATTATTTTCCTATTATGTCATTTGACACAGGTTTGATAACAAATGTAAAGGGGATTTACTCCGTCAAGTAAAAGGGAATTACTCTGTCAAGCCTATCTCAATTTTCGGAGACCATGGTAAATTTTCAATGGTTTAAGAAGGTATATACATTTTGAAAATACATCAATGTATGTTACAGGATATTAGCAAAATCAGTTTAGAAAGGTAATTGTTTTTTTGTATTACTCACTTGTCTATCAAGGGCTAGGTCATGATGGAGCTAAACTACTATTTAAGACTGGCATTAAACTCGGCTATTTCTTGGATACACACTTTTGAATATTTTATATTTTAGGCTATATTGTTTCAATTATATTTTTATCAAATATTTTTTTCTAACATATCTTCATCAATAATATATTTTTGAAAATATCATTTGAAAATGTTGGTTCCCTGCACTCACCGGATGTCTAAGGATTTGTCTATTTTTGCTCAGTGTTAACATAGCTAATTAAAAGACTCATTAAAGTAATTATGCTGATCTTGTTCACTGGGATAGACAAAGTTGTTGAAGAGAATTCACATGGTTATTTATGGCAGAGATGAATGGGTGGTCCTATGATCCAGTTTGCTTGAGATTGGCTTATGGATGTGAAGAATGGATGCAATAAAAAACTTGATGAAATTGTCATCAACTGTTTGAACCAATTAGTTTTTGTTGCAGTTTCTCTTTTTTCAGACTTATTCATCCATGAACTTGTAATTATGCATCTCATAGGTTAAATATCACTATCTGACAGCTTAACAAACATAGCGCACATAGTTATGTAGTTTGAATGGCAGAACAAGAGTATGTTTTTCTAGAGACAAGGACTTTTTAAAAGAATTTTCAGTTAGACACTTCAGGTCTATCTTTGTAGGGAATACTTCCTATATTGTATATTTTGTATGTTGGTTGATAACAAAAAATATGTTTGGTATTCACTGACCTCTTAGTTTTGTTTTAAAAACATTTTACGATATTTTCCTTAAAAATCATGAAACAACGTTTTTCAGTTTTAGAAGGTTTTTTGCTTTTAATAGTTTTGTTATGAATTTTACAGTTTTGGATGAGTTTTAAGGATTTTATGTTAAATGTGCAATAATTAACTTTTACAGTGCCACAAATATTAAGGAAACCCAAAATTCTAATTTATTCCAGTGTCCAGTGCCAATTTCTTGTTCAAAGTAAAATATGACTGAAAACCACTTTTGTTTGTTTCCAGAAGAGATGGTCCAAATTGAGTGGGTTAAGTTATGTAGATATTCCCAATATTGCCAGAGGTGTGGTGGGGTAGCCCAATTGTTAAAGCGTTTGCTGGTCATGCGGAAGACCCAGGTTCGATTCCCCACATGGGTACAATGTGTGAAGCCCATTTCTGGTGTCCCCTGCCATGATATTGCTGGAATATTACTGAAAGCGGGATCAAACCATACTCACTCACTCACTCAATATTGCCAGGTCAGGAGTTTCTATTTGTTATGGTGTTGTTGTTAATATTGAATTTTATTTGTTTGATTTTCAATAATGTTTAGAAAATCACGGTTATGTTTGTTTTGTGTAGGAGACCTTTTATTTACTCTTTGTTATTGAATGTTTTGTTTAAGTGTGTAATTTTGGTGGTATTTACTGTGTTATGACTTACGACCAAACTTTCAGGGCCAAACAGGTTCAGGAATAGGGCCCTGTTCCTCAAAGTGATCGTAAACCTAAGGCGATCGTAACGCCAGACTTTAACATAGCCTTATGACAGTCGTAGCTCTAAGATCGCTTTGTGGATTGAGGCCCTGGAGAGAGAGAGAGATATTGAGAATTGACTTCATAGAGACGGACTGTAGACTCTGTTAGGAGACTGTACAAACATCAGAGTTAATGAAAGCTCTTGTCCATTGGAATAGCCACATATCTTTTGAACTTCAGTATAATAATTGTTTTTATTCCCTTCCTCTTACTTTCCAAATATGATAGTCAACATTTGATAGGGATACTGAGATGTTATACTGAACAGTTAATAGGACTATCTCTCTCAAAAGTTGAGTAAACATATTGGAAACGCAAGCTGTAAGCAAAAACAAAACATATTTTGTGAAAGTTACATATACTGCAGGAATATCCATATAGTTGTATGTGTGAAGATTTACAAACTTTCAGATCCGAACTTGATATCATCTTTAATGAATTAAGTTCACTCACTCATTGT